AACCTTCCCTTTTAAACGCTGATGTATTAAAACACAGCTTTCAATATAACATTTTAAACAGAAGCTAGCTATCAATGCCAAAATCCTCATAGGGATATTGTTTTAAAGTTTCCCGTGATGGTAAAACAGCTGGGGAAACCGCTGAGTATGTTAGACCTTGCTTCACTTCTTACAACTATTAGGTCGTCAGGAAAGTCATGACGTATTTTTCTATGTTTTTCAATGCAAAAATGCGTCATGACTTTCCCGACGACCCAATACATGTGAAACTACAATTAGCTTGACATAAAAAGTTCAATCAGAAAATACTGCACTTAAAAAAAAAAAAGCTAGCTATGAGAAGGTGGAAATGTACTTTTCCCAATGTGTCCAGCCAGGTACAATTAAATACCCTAGACATTATTTATGTATTTTTAAAAATATGAAAGTCTCAGAAAGAGGAAGAGAAGAAAGTAAACAAGCTAGGAACTTCTGGACCTGAGGAAAACATAGTGTGGTAAGTTCTCTGTGTTTCTTTTTGCTTCATGTATCCCAGACTTGGAGCTATATACACTGTATACATCTTTATCACTCTAACTTTAATAATCAATGTACATGTCTGTCTCCCACGCTAAACTATAAGCTTCTTAAGACCAAAAACTACTCGTGTGTATTTCAGCACCCCCAGTACATAGTCAGTGCCTGATACAGGAGATAAGTCAATAAATATTTGGTGAAATATAAATAAACTTGCTGGTAAGAATACTATTATTTATATCCTGCCTTTAAAAAAAAATGCACAGTTGTAGTAATTTTGCTAAGGCGCAGTGCTATCTAGGATACTCCATCCTTGATAGCTAAATAGTAAAAGAGCAAGCAGTTCAGTTCTCCTATGTCTACAAAAGACATATGAGGGAATGCTAGTCTAGACAAGCATATTCTTACCTGCCATCTCTGATGAGCTCTTCAGCTGACTCAATAAGCTTATTAAGTTTCTTTACTTGTTTATAGTGTGCAAAACACCTTTTATGATCCTGGTCAAGTTTAAGACATTCACGAACTTCACTGCCCATGTATTTAAAAAAAAGAAAATACTCCAAGTCAAAATAATCAATGAATAGTTTTCCATACTAAATACAAAAATCACAATAAAAGGTAATTTTTGTTTATAACAATTAAACAAAACATACTGGCTTAATAATATACTTTTATATATGATGTACCATGCACACAATTCAAATGAAAATGACTTAAATATAGCTATACATTTTCCTTCTACACATATATCTCCTACTTATTTTAATAAGCATACTTCATGATAGTAACTATGCGGAAACAGAATAATTTAGGGATAACAAAATATATAAATAGATATGGACTATAAAAACCTCAACCATAATTTTATTAATATCAAATTTAAAAGAAAATGGGATTATTATCTTACAGCTAACAATAAAAAGATGAGGAGATGTGTATGTCACTAGAACTGACCTGAGGGACAGTTCATGGTCTCCTAGCTGATAGTACAGTGTGCTGATCTTATAAAAAGCCTCAGTATTATCATTCTTCAATTTTGATGCAGCTTTTAAGTCACTTATCGCTTTCCTAGGTTCCCCTTCTTTTATAAAACATTCAGCTCGAAGTTCCCGTAGTTCTGCATCCCAAACACAAACCTTGAGAAACAAAAGAACTAGACTTTAAGAAACAGTAAATTATGCATATTTATACTTGCATCCCACATATTTTGTCTACATATTTATCAACATAGAACATCTTCAATTAATGTGACTTCTAAATGGTAAATAGTATTTAAAAGTCTGATACAATTTAGATATGACAAAAATAATTAGATGTGACAAAATTATTTCTCCAAGGACATCTTAAATAAATTCTAGTGGGGGAAAGATATATATATATATATATATATATATATATATATATATATATATATATATATATATATATATATATATATATATATATATATATATATATACTAACAAGGCCCTTTTCCGACCTCCTTCAATTATGTAATTGTAAAATTTTGAAAATAAGAACACATGGCATTCAATATTAGAAGGTTGTTCCCAGTGAAGCATATTTGATTTTGAAAAGAATACTCTGTAATCAGATTTTTGTACTTAATCAACAATTCTAATTTCTAGCATCAAAAAATAAAATCTGGTTCTAAATTTGTAAAATATTTTTGTTCTACTAATAGCTAAATGAAATTCTCTTTTCTAAAATGTCATCTCCTTGAAATTAAATTCTCGTATCACAAAAAGAGAAAAATAATGTGAGACGGTTGAGGCTTCATCGTTTCTATTTTATTGAAAAACTTAAAATGTTTAGTAAATGAACTAGTATTCTTCAAAATGTAAACCCAAAAGCTCACCAATAAGGCCTGTGGAAATCTTTACATGTATCTTACAGCTGTTCTAAAGTCATGTCAATTTTTAACATATATTACAATATCAAAATCAACATTATACATAAATATCCTGAACAATAAGCTAGTTCCGAATAGACAGTCTACTGGAAGGTAAAAATGGTAACTATTTTTCCTTAATAAAGCATTTGCAAAATAATTTAGTAAAACGTGATTTCCATTGGACCATATCACATGATTTCCTCTATAAAATTATCAGAGGTGCCCATTATACATACATCACAAGTACTGCCAAAATTACATGAAACTACATCAAAGTGCTGTGGAAATGGTAAATATGAATTACGACTGCTTTCATTTGAAAATTTTAGTAGATTTCCTTCTGAAAGCATTTTCATTAAGTTCTCCAGAGGCAAGGAAACTGTAGACTTAAATTTCCCAACTAGAACCCTCTGGATCCTATCAACTCTTCATCTGCCTTCTTCCCTAGAAACTTCTCATGCTAAACACTCCTCTTTCCGCCCAAACATTAGTTTTCCTTTTTTCTTAACCAACTCTTTCATCCTCTACCCCTTTATTTAATCTCTAAGTTTTCTCCCCCTCCCCCAAAAAATGTAAAGTCAAACAACAGCAGCAAAGCAAGCAATGAATAAAAATATGGAACTCCCACTCCACAGCACATTCGGCACACTTACTGAAAACTTCAGTTCCTATATAAACACCATCTTGCACTTAAGAGCTGAAAGCCCAAGGACCAATCTGATTTTTATCCTATCGGTTTTTTTGTGGCACATAACATGTCAAAGTGTATAAATATACCTTATAGTAAAAAAGCAGTGTTAGACTTGTCAGCTGTAGTATCTTAGAAACTTACCTCTAAAATCTTATCAAGGAAGGTTATAGCAGCTGCATAATCCGAACTTTCAAAAGCATCAAGTGCTTGTGAACGCAAACGCTGCATTTCATCAGATTTTGTAAGTTGGGACTGGGCTTCCTTTTCTTCATTTTCACTTGGATTGGATTTGAGCTATAAGAATAATATGAAATTAAACAGGTTTTTTAATCTCTTAAATCTAATCCCCACAGTATACACAAATGTCTGGCCGTTCCAGATACTCAAGTTCACTGAGGGAGAAGGGTGGAGACAATGGCCAAATGAGCTTGTGCGATGGCTTGCGTCTGGTGCTGCCACCACGGGAAGCAACAGCAGAAGCATCTTGCACCGAGATGGTACACAGAGCAAGCAGTGGAGTTGGAGTCAACAGTCCTGGGTCCCCCAAAACTTACCAGGAAGCAAATATATTCAGAATGTGAAAGAGTAGAGAAGAATGAAGTAATACAGACAGCGCCTTTCCCACTTTCTGAAGTATACAGCTCTAGAGCAAATAACTAGTTTTATGTATTTTGCCTTCTAGTTATATTTCCTATGCATTTATTTTTAAGTATAAAATAATTTTACCAAAATAATGAAAAACACAGGGAAACTGAAGGAGAGGGTGTTTTTTGTTTTGTTTTTAGCGGTTATAGAATAGAAAAAGATTTGATAACTAGAGGGACTAAGATGTAATAAGGGAGAATTTACAGGGGAAAATAAGAGTAATATATTATTAAAAGGTGTACATGGTCTTAAGAGGTTTACAATGTCTCTTTTTTTAAAGTTAGCGAGGTATAATTTATATACCATAAAATTCACTCATTTTGAGTGCAATTCTGATTTTTAATAAATTAACCACGTATGCAAACCTTCACTACAGTTTTAGACCATTTCTGTCACCCCAAAAGATTCCTTTTGTCTGCTTACGGTTCATCCCCACTCCCAGCTCAGTCTCGTGCACAGTGACTCTTAATTTCTTCCTCCAGATAGAAAATCTTAAGCTTAATGGCTCAGAAAAAAATGGGTACTTACATTAAAAAACTACTGACTTTTTTGGGAACTTTTTTCTTTAAGATTACAGTTAATATGCAATAATTCCTGAAATCTAATATTCTTGAGATGGGAATTGTAGTTGATGGGTTCCAATTTTAGGTGAGGTGCAGATAACAGATTATTTCTAGAAATGTCTCTCCTTCAACAGACCAATGATACTGCTTCCCCTCCCTTTTAGTAGATTCATTTTTTTAAAACACCTCCACAGCGACCTGGTAGGAGAGAACACTCCAAACAAGAAACCTTAAGATTATTATCACTTGGTGGAGACTCTGTATTTCTCCAATTGTTTTTAGGATACTTTAGGTATTCTATTTTGTCTGTAGAACCCGTTGACTTTTGAAGGACTAGACAGGACTCCAAGTATTCATGGGTAACCAGGAATTTGATCACCTCAGCTCGCTGTGGGGAGGACTGTCCCTGCGTGACTGAATTATCCAGTTGAAGGGTTGCTTTAGGGTCATGGCACGCTTGTCTAGGACTTATCATCCTTGGGGTGGTCTTGAATACTTCCGATAGACCATATTGGAAGGAGCATAAATGTGTGCATTGTCACTTTGCTCTCAGTAAAAGTAGAAGTTTATTGCTAAGTTGTTTCCTGTATGTACAATACACTACTGCTGCTTTTGGAGAGGATGTATTAGACTGCCTCTCCTGGGTGGAATTTGCATCTTTCTCTCCTAAACTTTAGAGTCTAGTCTCTTCCACACAGGTTTTCTTGTTGGAAGGTGAGGGAGGGGAAAGCCCTAAATCTCAAAGTTGAGGATGGAGGCCTCAGCCTCACTCCATGCTCAGGCAATGGAACAGGCAAGAGGGGATGAGCTCAGGCCACCTGGGCCTGACCCTCCAGGGGATGTGCTGAGAAAGTCATTTCCAAAAGGTTACGTGCATTTGAATCCATATAGACAACATTTTTGAAATATCAAAATTTAAGAAATGAATAACAAATTAGTGGTTGCTAGGAGTTATGTATGGATAAGGGGCCGAAGGACTATGAAAGGAAAGTAGGTGTGGTTATAAAAGGGATAGTCTTGTATAAAAGGGAAACACTGTTCAGTGCCTTGACTGTGGTGACAGATACAAGAAAAAGTGTATGGAATTAAATACACACACAAAAATGAATGCTAGGAAATCTGAATAGACTGGTAGGTTGTATCAATGTCAATATCCTGGTGGCAATGTTGTACTATAGTTTTACAAGATGTTATTATTGCGGGGAACTGGGTATTAGGTAAAGGGTACAGAGGACTGTATTATTAATTACAATTTCAAGGAAATCTACAATTATCTCAATAAAATTTTCAATTAAAAATAAAATATTATTGCATATAGATGCACATTCTCATGGGAGAATCCCAAGTCGTAAGAAAGATTAGGTAGACATAAAATAATATCCAATGTTATTGAGACTGTGAGACAGCTTCTGATGCAATACAATGAAGTCTAATGTTTTCTAGATTTGTCTGCATATTAGTGAGTATTGTGACAAAGCCTGTAACATTCCCCCAACAAATCCAAAACACTTCACACTTTGTAAAGTAGCCAAATGGATAATCGCAAAATTTCCTTTTAAGAATCTGTTTCATTACTCCTTTCAAATCAGACAAAGGGTTTCCCAAGCCACTTAGAGGACTTTTAAAATAACTCAGCTGACATCTCTAGATTCTCATAAAAGACAAACAGAGCACGTGAGCTATATAAATTATTGAGTTAGGATTATATATTTAGTCTAGAAACTACATTCTATCTGTTAAAGTGATTCTTTGATGTCAGCCACTACATATTAATTCAGGAACTACAACTCTTACATACACAAATCAAGTGATTTCCCTTTTAGCTGTAAAGTTATTAAATATCTTTCTATAAAATATAATGCTAATATGTTCACTCAAAATATGTTCATAGAGTCAAATGCAAACTGAACTGAACTTACCACTTTTTTAAAATCATCTTCCGCTTCATCGAGTTTTCCTTGTTTGAGTAATAAGTGACCTCTCTGTAATCTTGCCTAAAAAAAAAAAGGGTGCTCTGAGTACTATACATTTCTAAATTTTCTTTAAACACAAAGAACAAAACTAAATAAGCTAATGAAGTATTAATGAAATATTTATTTTTCCAATGCCCATTTGACTTGGCTTTCTAAGAATGATTCCTGGAAACAATGTGTATAGTTTTTGTTAAAGTATGCTTCCTTAAAAATACTTTCTGCTATACCCAAAAAAAATGAAAACATGTGTCCACGCAAAATCTGGTACATAAATGTTCATAGCAATAGCCAAAAAGTGGAAACAACCCAAATTCCCATCAACTAATAAACCAGTATGATATACTGATAAATGTCATATATCCATACAATGGAATATTTATTCAGCCATAAAATGAAGTACTGATACATACTACAATGTGATGAACCTTGAAAACATTATGTTAAACCTAAGAAGTCAGACACAAAAAGCATATTGTATGAAATACATATTGTATTTCATTTATGTGAAATATCAAAAATAGGCAAATCCATAGAGACAGAAAAATAAATGCTTGCCAAGGACTGTTGCAGAAATGGGAATGACTGCTAATGGGTACAGGGTTTCTTTTTTGAGTGCTAAAAATGTTCCAGAACTAGACAGTGATTATGCTTGCACAACCTTGTGAATATACAGATGATCCCCAACTTACAATGGCTCAACTTACCATTCTTCCACTTTATAATGGTGTGAAAGTGCCACCCTTTAGTGGAAACCGTACTTTGAATTTTGATCTTTTATGGGGCTAGCAATATGCGGTACAATATTTTCAAGATCCTGGGCAGCAGCAGTGAGCCACAGCTCCCAGTCAGCCACACAATCAAAAGGGTAAACCACCAATCCTCCACACTGTACTATACTGCCAGTGTTTTCTGGATACTGTGTTTTGTGTTTTTGCATCCCATCATGTCCACAAACTCATGTGTGTGCCGGTGTGCTTTCATGGTAAGTACGCATTCAACCACTGGTTTTCACTTTCAGCATTTAATGAAATACATGAGATATTCAACACTTTATTATAAAATAGCCTATGTGTTAGATGATTTTGCATAAACTGTAGGCTAATCTAAATGTTCTGAGCACATTTAAGGTAGGCTAGGCTAAGCTATGATATTCAGTAGGTTAGGTGTATTAAACACATTTTTCACTTATGGTATTTTCAACTATGATGAGTTTATCAAGACATAACCCCACTATAAATCAAGGAGCATCTGTACTAAAAACCACTGAACTATACACTTTTTTTAAAAAGGGTGACTTTGATGGCATATGAATTATATCTCAATTTTAAAAATACTTTTTGCCATCATAGTAACTTTTTGTACTATAATATAGTTGTGTAATATAAGACTTTATTAATCAAAGCTCTGGAAATAGTTTTGTTTGTTTTTATTTCCTTTCAATGTAAATATTTACTACACTATAACCAGAATATCAATGCCTCTTCCCTTTTAACATGCATCATTTTCTCCCTCTCCATCTCATATTCCTTTTCTAATATGTACAATCCCATCTCTTCCAAGAATACCAACTCTCTGATGACCAATGTCTACCATAAGACAGAAACCACACAACTTCCAGTTGCAGAGTATCTCTTCCAAGATGGCAGAGTAGGGAAAAGGAACTCACCTTCTCTCATGATCACACCAAAATTACAACAAAACTACAGAATAACCATCACTGAGAACCACATGATAACAAGCTGAACAAAAGTCCTATAACTAAGGATATAAAGAAGAAGGCACATCAAGAGTGGTAGGAGGGAAGGAAACATGGAACAGGCATGACCACAAAAAGCTGTAAACATTTTCTTTAAGATCAGGAACACCACTTCATCACAGTATTAGAAGTTCTAGCCACAGCAATCAGACAAGAAAAAGAAATAAAAGGCACCCAAATTGCAAGGGAAGAATTACAACTGTCGTTATTTGCAGATGACATACTATATAAAGAGAATCCTAAAGGTTCCACGAAAAAACTATTAGAACTGATGGATGAATTCAGTAAAATAGCAGGATACAAAATTAATATTCAGGAATCAGCTCCATTTTTATACACCAATAATGAACTATCAGAAAGAGAAATTAAGAAAACAATACCATTTACAATTGCATCAAAAAAAATAAAATATCTAGGAATAAATTTAACCAGAAAGTAAAAGACCTCTACCTGGAAAACTATAAGACATTGAGGAAAGAAACTGAAGAAGACACAAATAAATGGAAGGATATACCCTGCTCTTGGATAGGAAGAATTAATATCATTAAAATGTCCATACTGCTCAAAGCAATCTACAGACTCAGTGTAATCCCTATTAATATCAGTGGCATTTTTTTCACAGAACTAGAACAAATAATCCTATAATTTATATGGAAATACAAAAGACCCCAAATAGCCAAAGCAATCTTGAGAAAGAACAAAATTAGAGGTATCACACTACCTGATGTCAAACTATACTACAAGTCTATAGGAATCAAAACAGCATGGTACTGGCATAAAAACAGACACAAAGATCAATGGAACAGAATAGAGAGCCCAGAAATAACCCTACACCTATATGGTCAACTAATTTATGACGAAGAAGGCAAGAATATACACTGGGGTAAAGTCTCTTCAATAAATGGTGTTGGGAGAACTGGACAGATACATACAAAAAATAAAATTAGTCCACTTTCTTAAGCCATATACAAAAATAAACTCAAAATAGAATAAAGACTGAAATATAAAACCTAAAATCATAAAATTCCTAGAAAAAAACATACTAAACTCTTTGACATTGCTCTCAGTGACATTTTTTTGAATAACTCTCTTCAGGCAAGGGAAACAAAAGAAAAAATAAACAAAATGAACTACATAAAACTTAAGTTTTTGCACAGTGAAGGAAACCATCAACAAAACAAAAAAGAACCTACTGAATGGGAGAAGATATTTGCCAATGATACATCTGATAAGGAGTTAATATCCAAAATATATAAGGAACTCAACTCCAAAAAGAAAATCCAAATAATTCTATTAAAAATATGAGCAGAGGATCTGAATAGACAGTTCTCCAAAGAAGACATACAGATGGCCAAGCAACATATAAAAATATGCTCAATATCACTAATCATCAGGGAAATGCAAATCAAAACCACAATGAGATATCACCTCACACCTATCAGAATGGCCGCAATCAATAAATCAACAAGGATACGGAGAAAAGGGAACACTCATGCAATATTAGTGGGATGGTAAATTGGTGCAGCCACTATGAAAAACAGTATGGAGGTTCTTCAAAAAGTTAAAATAGAACTACCATAGGACTCAACAATTCCACTTCTGATATTTATGCAGAGAAATCCAAAAACACTATTTCGAAAACCTATATGGACCCCTATGTTCACTGAGCATTATTTACAGTAGCCAAGATATGGAAACAACCTAAGTGTCCACAGACAAATGGATAAAGAAGATTTGGTACTTATATATACACTGGATTACTCAGCCATAAAAAAAGAATGAGATCTTGCCATCTGTGACAACATGGATGGACCTAGGGTGTATTATGCTAAGTGAAATAAGTCAGAAAAAGGCAAATGCTATATGATTTCACCTATATGTGGGATCTAAAACACAAAATAAATGAACAAACAAAAGAGAAACTCATAAATACAGGAACAAATTAATGGTTGTCAGATGGGAGGGTGGTTGCGGGGAAGGTTGAAAAATGTGAAAGGGATTATGAAATACAAATTGCTAGTTATAACAATAGTCATGAGGATGTAAAGTACAGCATAGGGAATAGTCAGTAATATTATAGTAACTATATTGTGTCAGATGGGTACTAGACTGATCAGGGTGATCACTTTGTAAGGTATACAAATGTCTAATCACTATGTTATATACCTGAAACTAATATATTGTATGTCAACTGTAACTGAAAATTTTTTTTAATTTTGAAAGACAGAAACCACATCGATATTCTGCCAAAACTTACATATTACTTTTATGATACATAAAATTTCCCTAACCTTCTGTTAAATGAATCAATACACATAAAAAGCAATATCAAAGGTACTTCAACAGCTAATAGCTACTATAATATCAGGAAAATGAGCTACTTAACCTTTGTGAAAGGTTGTGCTTAGCTGGGTAAAGTAACAGACTAAAGAAAAATTTGATACTTGGGAATTCCATCTTAAAATAATAGTAATATTTCAAATCAAACATTAACCTATATCTAATTATTTATATCAAATTATTTTTGGAATATGGCAGGATATAAGCAATAAATGAGTTCCAAATTAATTTTGAAACCATCTAATTGGTCCTGTTATTTTAAGCCATTACACTGACCTGTCAATCATCAGGATATCCCATTAGACTAGATTCCTCCACTTCTTAAGCTTGTTAGGTCCAGGGAAGAACTCTTAATTCAGCATCGTATCGGCACCACAAACCACTGCTTAGAACTATGTCCTCTTCTTTATTCTTCCTGTCACAACCTAATTGAAACTGTCCTCAGTCACCTGACAGCCTTTTAATACAACAGCTTCTTAGTAAACTCATTTCTCAGCCTCATATCTTGCCCTACAATCCGTCCTCCACACAGAGGTCTTTCTAAATGACAAAGGGAACATCACTGCCAAGCCTCTAAAAAACACTTAATGGGCCCACTGTTCCTCCTTCACACAGACCTTTGATTCCAGCGAAATTTGGATGTCTCTTGCTGTCCAGTCTACTACATCTCAGTGGCTTTCTAAATCCTCTCCAGTTAGTCCTCACCTTAAGAAACAAATGACCTCTTCCAAGTTCCCTTATTTTCTCCTTTAAAGAAAGTTTAAGTGCACTTACTGCAGTGAAATCCATCTTCAATTCAATCACTTTAGTTAAATCAGGAAGTGCTGCCTTTGATTTGCCCATAGCTAAAAAGACAGTAGCTCTCCGATAGTAAGCAATATAGTTATCTGGGTCACCATCTGAAAATTAAAATAATAGATATTAGCTCTCAGTAATTTATTTTAAAAAAAAAAACCAAATCACCTGAACAATATTAGACTTTTCAATTCTATCATGAAAGGCATCAAGAAAAGAATTTCTTCATCAATAATGGGTCATATTGTCTAGCAAAATCACTGGAAATATATGCAGAACAGGGTTGGCAAACTGTAGCCTCTGCACCAGATCTAACCCACAGATTTCAAGTTAAGAATGTTTTTTTACATTTTTAAAGAGTGTCAAAAAAATACAAAAATATGAAACAGTCTAAAACATTTACTATACTGGCTTTTTAAGAAAAAGTTCGCCAACCTCTGGTCTGAAATGCTAACTATGTTCAACTCATAACTTTTCACTGAAATTTTATTAAGTGAAATAGTAATGGAGAATGTGGACTTATGTACAGGATTTTAGAAAATTACAGACTTCCAATTAAATTGATATATTTAATGTGCAACATCTGATCCCTCAAATTCTAACTAAAATAGCAGTGAAGAAAAAAAAGTACAAACCTTAGGACAAAGGAGGCGAATGGAAATGAGAGTGAAACTAGAAAGCAAGACTAGTGAAGTTAATATTTGAAAAAAGAAAAGCAAATGGATGAGTTAGGTTTCTGAGCTAATTCCACTTTAATCAGCACCTACAAAGTGGGGGAAGGAGTGAATTCAATTAGAAGCAAACCGCGTACTGCTGAACAATCCTTCCAGAAAGCAACTTTGAAGTGTGTGTGTGTGTGTGTGTGTGTGTGTGTGTGTGTGTGTGTGAAAATGATCTTGACCAAATCTAGCCATCTATCTTTAAAAAATAAGTATCTATTCACACACATAATCATCATTACACGATTTACTACTAAAACTTCTACCCCTGAAAGTCCTATCAATTGGAAAACATTACAATATTTTTTCTACATGGAATCTACATGGCAGGATGGTATGTAATTATTCAAAATTATGGTTTTGAGCAGTTGTTAACGGCATTGAAACTACCTGAAGTACTGGGGGGGGGGCGCGGAGGCTGGGCAGGAGGGAGAGAAAGAAGATATACAAATGGTGAATAAGCACATGAAAAGATGCTTAACATCCCTCATCATTAGGGAAGAGATACCACTTCACACCCACTAGAATGCAGGAATGAAGGAAGGGAGGGAGGGAGCGAAAGTACTGGTGAGGATGTGGAGCAATCGGAGCCCTTGTGCACTGATGGAGGGAATGTAAAATGGTGCAGCTGCTACGGAGGGGTTCCTCAAAAGTTAAACATAGAATTACCATATGAACGACCAATTCCACTTCTGGGTATATACCCAAAAGAATTGAAAGCAAAGTTTGAACAGATATTTATATACCCATGTTTGTGGCAACATTATTCACAACAGCCCAAAGATGGAAACAAACCAAATGTCCACAGATGGATGAATGGATAAACAAATGTGGTGTATACATACAATGGAATGTTATTTAGCCTTAAAAAAGGAATGAAATTCTGATACATGCTTCAACACAGATGAACCTTGAAGACATTATGCTAAGGGAAATAATAAGCAAGACACAAAGGACAAATATTGTATGATTCTACTTCTACGAGATACCTAGAGTAGTCAATTTTATAGACAGAAATCAGAAAGGTGGTCGTCAGGGGCTAGGGAATGGAAGGGGATCAGAAATGAAGAACAAATATTTAATGGGACCAGAGTTTCAGTTTGGGAACACGAAAAGGCTCTGCATATGGATGGTGGTAATGAGTGCACAACAATGTGAATGCACTTAATGCCACTGAGCTGTATGTTTAAAAATGGTTAAAATGGTAAATTTTATATATAAATTGGACTAAATATTTTATTGAAAAATTTTGGAAAAAAGAAAATTAGGCATTTTAACAATTCAAAAAATCTTGATTTTTTTTAAACCTATAACAAAAACAAATAAAACCCACATATAATCCCAGCTAAGCATCACTGAAATTTCTTTTCTGATCAACTTCCCATGGAAGGCAGGGAAGGAAGAGCCAAGTCAGCAGCCTTTGTACCAGGGTGTTTCCTACGAAACACGGTCATTTGCTTGAAGGAAGAAGAAGAAACACAGTAATTATACTTAGCGTTTACTTGATATAGGATATTTTTAGGTCTGGCTTATATTTAATTTAGAATGTGCAATAAATTTAAAATATATGCGTCTGGTCAGCATAACTGGTCATAAGAATGATTTGACACAGACAGATTACTGACACTTAAGTGACTGCCTCTCAAAGTAAAAGGAAATTCACTATCTGAGCAGAGGTGGATTTTCTTCTTTATACTTTCATATACTCCCAAATGTTTCACAATGCACATGGAGTACTTTTATATTCATTAATTTATAAAAGAAAATTTAAGTTCTCCATGACTGACTTACACTACGCAAAGAATAAGAAATACTAGAAATAACATGATTGAAGGCCTGATGTTTCCACCACACACCATCACCTTCTTTTTTATTCATTTATTTATTTTTATTGTTAGTTTCAGGTGTACAGAACAATGCAACAGTTATCCTTTTTACCCTTCGCACAGAAACAACCCCCCTCCCCCATCCACTGCCCTCCCACCCCCGATATCATACTTATCTATTACAATTCCATTGACTCCATTCCCACACTCTACTCCACGTCCCATAACTATATGTATATATAATTATAGTTGACATACATTATTATTCAACATCAGCTTCAGAAATACAGTGCAGTGGTCAGGCCTCTACACCAACTATGAAGTGGTCTCCCTAACAAGACAAATGTCCAAATCCTATTCAATCTTTGAGGCACAGCTCAAATGACTGACTTGATTACACATGTGAAAATAAACTTTCCATTTCCTCAATTTCTGTAACAGTCTATTATATATCTTCTTGCACCTAACACTTATCATTACCTCCCAGTATCAGTTATTTATATACACACTTCAGTCTACAGAAAATACATCCTTGAGTGAATTCATTTTTGTGTCTCCATAGCACCTGGCCACAGGTACTGAATGAAAGGAAATGGAAAAAAATTCCTGGTAACTGCAATAATGGATACTCCCACATCAATGTCAACACTGACACCTGCCTGGGACAAGCAAGAGACCCAAACAAGTCAACACAGACATGTGTTTAAGAGCACAGGCTCTTAAACAGATGTGCCTCACCAGGATATTCAGATTATTCTCCCACATGAAATTAGCAACAATTTTTTCAAAAACAGATGTTGCTGATTTTGAACTCTGTATGAAGTTTGTTTAAGAAAAAAAGAATGTTTATTGCTAGCTTTGGGCATTTTATTTTATCAACAAAGTTAACTTAAGCAAAAATTGCACTGAACTTCTATTTGGAAAAAACCTGACCATTTCAGTCCGTGCAGAAAACCCTCCAAAGAGAATTATGTATGACATAGCTTTTGCATTAAGTATCTGATTATACACATATTTAAAATGTCTACATAAGGGGCCAGCCGAGTGGCTTAGTTGGTTAAGAGCTCGCTCAAGAGTGCTGAGCAACAGTGGTTCGAGTCCCAGCCTGAGGTGAGCTGCCGCTGAGCTGCCAACAGGTGGCAGGATGATCAGCTAAATATATATATATATTTCTGGGGCATCCACTTTCACTTGTTTTACTATTCAGTTTTTAGGTATTTTTAAGATATGAGATGGAACTGGAACCCCAATTTCAATTTTGTTATAAATTAATCCTACAAAAATAAGGAATCAAATGGCAACGGCGCAACACATAAATCCAGAATCAATCTGCTTAGTGGTATAGGGTCACTTGAATGGCAAAACAGAATAGACTTCCCAGACTCTTCATCTTAAAACACCAACAGTTACTAAAACTAGTGTCCCTTCTTATATCATTGTGCATGAAATAGCAACTAAACAAGTCCTGGTTTAAGAAATTCATACTTCGTTTCTCATAATATAAGATTTGATAACCTTGAAAACAATCACTTTTCCTATTACCCATTCAATATACAATACAGTTCATCATTTAAATTACTTGCAAACCTACATATAGATGTACTCAATTTCATTTGAAAACAAGTCATTCAAATTGTTATAATAGTTTATTAGAAATTTAACATGAAAGATAGATTTAAGCTGTAATCCTAAAACTGTCAAACAATTCAAATATGAGAAAATTAGCCCTAATAAAAAAATACAATACTACCTGGAGAAAACACATCAGAAAGTCAAATGATGTTGTGAACAATGGCAGCAAGAAGCAGAAAGACCACCCTTGCCAAGATACCAAAAATTTTTTATTCTTGCTTCCTGCTAACCCAACTCTACCCCACCATTCATCTACCAGAGATTAAAATAACAAGAATAAGACAGTACCTATCCTTAAGAAGTTCACAGTCTTCTGAACTGGAATGTGACCTTTGGAAAGTCACTAGAGCACTCTGTTTCCTTCTGTCTAAATGTGAATAGTAATGTCCTCCCCATTTCACAAGTGAGGCTTAAATGTGATGAGAAAGCACCATATGTTTAAGTGACAAATGCAGACATGGACTTTGTTTTTTGATTTAGCAAAACTATGTAAGTGGGATACTGGTTTTCTTACAAAGCAAACAGAGGACCCTATCATTTCAGACATGCCCACCATTCAATCCACCACTTTAGACATTCATTTATGCCAGGTATACCTAAGACATTCTATAACGTCTACCAAAAAAATGATTTCAGACCCTAGGATTCATTTCAGACCCATGGACCAGAAGACCATTCTGTGGGAATGAGAGGTGGGGCCATCTTCACACCTGCGTTTTCTCTAATGATAAATCTCTCAACAAAACTTGCATCTGACTACCTCATAACATTAAAATAGATGCAACAGTTTCAGAAGACTATTTGAAAAGTGATAATAGACACTATTCCTAAAATCACAGTTTCCAACAGATCAAGAATATTTCCTGATCAGTTCTAAATCTTAAAACCTCTGCCACAAAATATTTATATGCCAACTACTAAAAAACTGCAAGCCAAATCACTAATAAATCTGTACCACAAAATAGAAACAATGACTATGTGCTATGCAATTTTAATATATAAACTTTTATCATGTAAAAATATCATAAAACAAACCATGTCCAAGTAATTTTCAAAATGTACCACATAATTTTTCAAAAATGAAAATGAAAGAAAGGGCATCACAACCATAAATAATGTCAGCTGTAATGTTGCAATAAAAATGATTATTTGATACTCCCAATGATGCTAGCCAAATTCTATTACAAACTTTAACATCAGTTTCTAATCACAGGAGAAGTTAAAGAAACAAAATAATTTACAAAATTTAGAAGCTGGGAGGTATAAACGCTTTTATGAATGAATAAACATTTAATGAACTTTTTATGTAGTCAGTTTAGAGCAATGTGTTAAAACATGACTGAAATTTTACCACAAGATCAGCATACATTTTGCAGTATCACAGACAGCAGTAAGGGACTAACTTGTTAGTGTAGAAATCAGGAGAAATGGAATAACATTCAGGGGAACTGTTAGAGCCTCTCACCAACTCACTGGGCTACCTGAAGCAGCTATACTAAATCTGATGTTTGGTACATGAGACAATTGAAATAGAGAAACAACAGTTCTTTTCTGATAAACACACATCTCATAAGAGAGTCAAAAGGCCATGACACCACATCGCCCCATCCCTATCTACTATATGTTTCCATCATATACGATTTAAAATTTATTTTCTATAGTTAGTTATGAACAATCAGTATTTTACATAAACTAAAATGATTAATGTCTCAAACCACACAGGTCTTCCCCAGAAATTACGCTATGTGTACCATTTGAGAATCACTGCTACTCACCAAATTATGAACAAAGTAACATAGCTATTGGAACTCTGAATACACCAACAGTATTTCACTTTCTCCCTTTACTCAATTTCACAAATAAATTACTTTACTTAAGCTTTATTAATTTACATCTTTCCGCAAAAACAGTAATATTTTATTGGGTATTTTGGGAAGAGCCGGCTCAAGAATTCTTGTATGGCATTGAAGCGAAAGAAAAATAGGCAGTCATTTTAAACTACTTTAACAGTATGCCATAGCCTTTAATGTTTCTGCTAAATGTGGGATTAAAGAATGCAAATCATAAAGTATTACAATACATAGAAAGTATAAGTTTCTGTGAATACTCTCATGGTAATAGGGAAAAATCAGTATTTTTTTAAGACATGCTTTACCTATGACAATAACTGAAAATTTTTTAATTACCATGCTGCAGCACTGAAGACAGCTCAAATCACCAGAAAAAATATGAACTTTGTAATGACATAGTCATGCAGTATATGGTCTCTAATGAAAATTAACTTTTGCAAATTGTTGGGCCAATTAACTGCCATTACCCAAGGTAAGTTAATCATTGAAATGAAAGAAACCTTCCCAATAGAAACTCCACATAGTTAAGTAAAACCTTTCAACATATCAGATCTGTTTTTAGAAGTCTTAATTTTCAGAGACACAAAAATTAGATTTATTTTTATATACCTCACATGTATGATTGTACCCTATTTTCAAAGAAATCTTTATATACATTATTCTCACCTAACCTTCACAAAAATTCCTTTTTTGGATGGCACAGGAAAACTGCTGGGAATATATACAGGTAACTTCTTTAAGCCTACATTTTCTTACATAACTTGACCAATGTCACAGTATTATCAAGTGGCAAAGACAAGATTAAAATCTCAGTTTCCTATTAGTATTCCAGAGAGCTAATAACATCAGTAATAAAAATATGAGTTAAGAAATAGCATGAGGGGCGACCAGTTAACTCAGGTGCTTAGAGTGCTGAGCTCATGACACCAAGGTTGCCAGTTCGATCCCCACATGGGCCACTGAGCTGCACCCTCCACAACTAGATTGAAACAACTATTTGACTTGGATCTGATGGGTCCTAGAAAAAACACACTGTTCCCCAATAAAATTTAAAAAAAAAAAAGAATTTGGAGGCTGACATACAAAGTTGAGCCCCATTTAAAAAAATAAAAAAGCATAAAAAAAATATATTACCAAAACCTAACTACATTTTGTTTATATAGTAAAATAACAACAAAAGGGTGCTAATTCTTCTGGTGAGCAGAACTGTATCTTATTAAAAATACACCACCTCATTATCCTGCAGGTTGACTCGTCACTCTTAATTACTCAAATAAGGGTGAGAATGTACAAATAAATTTAAAAAGAACTCAGGAAAGTCAATGTCAAAAAGTCCCAGCACAAAAGTGTATGCAGTGAATCATAAGAAAACCCTTTAAGACCTCACTTAAAACCTATTTATTTAAAGAAGATGTGATACATACACACACTATATATATTACACACACACACACACAAAATATATATATACATATACATATATATTAAATATATGTATACACACACACACTGTGGAATGGAATATTACTCAGCCACAAAAAAATGAAAACTGGCCACTTGTGACAACGTGGACAGACCTAGAGGGTATTATAATGCTAAGCAAAATAAGTCCAACAGAAGAAGATAAATACCGCATGATCTCCCTTATATGGGGAATCTAAAAAACAAAGCAAGTGAACAAAACAGAAACAGACTCATAGATACAGAGAATAAACTGGTGGTTGCCAAAGGGGAAGGGGTGGTAGGACAGGTAAAACAGGCAAAGGGGATTAAGAGGTAGAGCTTCCAGTTATAACATACATGTAAATAAGTCATGGGATGTAATGTACATCATAGGGAATACAGTCAGTAATACTGCAATAACTCTCTATGGTGACTAGACTTGTCGTGGTGATCATTCTGTAATCAGAATGTGTAATGTACAAAAACAATGAATCACTATGTTGCACACCTCAAACTAACAGAATATTGTATGTCAACTATAATTCAATTAGAAAAATTTTACTTTTAAAAGAAGAACCTATTTATTGTGGTCATCTCATTTCTCACAGTCCCACTAGATTAAAAGCTGCAGACAGCTGATGCTACAGACACACGCGAGCAATAAGAAGAAAGAGCCTAAAGGGGTACTGGGAGTTTGACCTACACTGAAGAGGCAATGAACGCCAGGATCCCCGAAGGGCCTCAACGTAAAGTAATTACTATACTGATGATCTCAAGTCATCAAGAAAATTAAACTATGCTCAGTGAAATCTTTTAAGAGGGCAGAAAATTACATTGAGAAAAGTTTTCTGTCAAAATTATCTTGAATTATTCTTGGTACTTACAGTAGTAAGTCTGTTACCTGGAAAATTCTCTTATGATAGATACTATGCATTCAAATGTTAGGCATGTATTTTATGCATTCAAGTGTTATGCATTCATTTTATTAATCTAATTGATTCAGAATCCTGCCATATTTTTTAATGTTTTAAACATTAAATAATGTTTATTTTAAATGTTAACCAAAAAAAGAGTTATTAATTAGAATTCATTAAGATGGCCCCTGAATGTTTTGGTTCCAAGATACAAACCTACTGCAGCATGAAACTGCGATAAAGCATCTGCTAGCTGTCCAGCTGCAAGTAATTTCTTGCCCAATTCAAGATGTTTCTCAACATCTGCATTTACTCCACATTCAGCACCTAAAAACAAATTGAAAAACATAATAAGTTAACTTTCCATGAACCAAGATTTAATTCTAAAGAATAAAATGTTAAAGATATAATTATCTGGGGCCAGCCGAGTGGTGCGTTGGTTAAGAGCTGGCTTGGGATGCCAGAGGGCCCCGGTTCGGATCCCACATATGAGGGCCAGTGACACTGCCCTCCACNTGTACATGCCTACCACCTGGTGGCAGATTGATTATACTGGTTCTCTTCCATAGGGCTCACCTTCATGGAACATAAAGATTTGCCTGCAGCGTTCCTGCAAGCATCACCACTGATAACATTCACAGATTGCATTATTCGCCATCATGGCATTCCACACAGCTTGCATCTCATCAAGAAACTCATTTACTCATTTCACAGCAAAGAAAGTGCAGCAATTTGCTCATGCCCATGGAATTAACTGGTCTTACAACATAATTCTTCACCCAGAAGCAGCATGCCCTTTGAAAAGTGGAATGGCAGCACTAGTTAGGAGACAAAAACCTGAACAACTATTTTGCAGGCTATCAGTTCAACTTTCAATGACAGACCATCATGTGGTGCTATCTCCCCATAGCCAGAATATATGGGTCCCGGAATCAAGAAGTAGAAGTGGGAATGACTCCTCTCATTATTCCACCTAATAATATACTTGCAAAATGTTTGCTTACACTCCTGGCAATTGAGCTCTGATGCTTTGGAGTTCTTAGTCCCCAAAAGGGAAATGCTTCCACAAGGGGACATAATAATGGTTCCAATGAATTGGAAAATGCGACTGCCAACTCATCATTTTGTACTCATTATGCTAGTAAAACCTACAGGCAAAAAAAAAAAAAATTGGTTAATCTACTGGCTGGGAAATTAATCTAAATTACCAAGGAGAAATAGGGCTTGCTGCTATACAGTGGTGGCTACATCTGGAACCCAGGGGATTCTCTATGGTCTTAGTACTTCCATGCTCAATACTAAAGGTTCAAGAAAACTACAGCAACCAAAAAACAGAACAGTTAAGCACTCAAACCCTTCAGGAATAAAGGTTGGGGTCACACCATCAGGTAAAGAAGCCAGAGTAATTGAGGTTCTAGTTGAGGGCAGAAGTATGGGACAGAGTGCTGAAGAAGGAAACCATATGTACCAACAATGTCCTCGTGATCAGACACAAAGACTGTATTGGCTTTGCATATTTTCTCCTCGCTTTTTATACACGAGTTTATTTGTATATAGTCAATCTTCACAATTCGCAGATACTATCTTTGTGACTTCACCCACTCTATAAAATTCATGTGTAACCCCTTAAAATTCATTTATAATCCCCAAATTAAAACTCAGGAAGCCTTGGCAGGTATTTTGCAGACATTGCAGAATGGGGAAAACCTTGATTGAGTCACTCAAAGTGCAAATTCCCAGATGAAGGCAAACACAGCGGTACTCTTTCGGCTCTCATGTTATAAACAAGTGTCCTTTCCATGGTATACTGAGTCACATTTTTCACATTTTTGTGCTTTTTGCTGGTGATTTCACTGTTTAAAGTGGCTCCCAAGTGTAGTGCTGTCCAGTGTTCCTATGTAAAAGGGCTGTGATATGCCTTTCTCAGAAAACCTGTGTCAGATAAGCTTCACTCAGGCATGAATGATAATGCTGTTGGCCACGAGTTCAATATTAATAAATCAACAATATATACTGAATAAGATATTTTTAAACAGAAACACACATAAAATAAGGTTACGCTTTCATCTGTTGACAAAAATGTAGTGACCTGAAGCTTGCAGGATCCTAACCTTGTATTTCTTTGTAGGAGCAATGGTTCAGTATTTACTAATTTAGTGTTTGCAGTGAATTTATGGAACATAACTACTGCAATGACTGTAGAGAACCGACTATACTGACCATATTTTCTCTAATTTCTATTTTTATTTTATGTACAAATTGTTGGATTAACTTTACAATTTAGTTTTTATATAATGCCAGGAATGGACACAATGACTTAGAACTGTGCCTTCTCAATTGGGGTATGGGTGAGAATTTCTTCACTTATATTAACAAGAACAGCTGTATCTTGTTAGGTAGAAAATAGAGTTGTTTTGTTGTACTGGCGTTCAAATATGTGTAGAAGGGTATATATGGAAAGTGAGCAGCCAATCATTTCTCTTTCACAGTGAACATGATGTTAAGTATTCAGGGTGCAAAGGGACATTGCAGGGGAAAACTCAGAACAGTGGTCACTTGGGAAAGTGGCAGAAAGGATAGACTGAGGAGCAGCAGGAGACAACTTTCAGGGGTGCTAATAATGTTCTAATCTTGATAAAGGTATGGGTTACACAGGTTTATGCAGTTATCAGAACTCAGTAAATATATACTTAAAATATGGGCATTTTATCCTATATAAATTTTACTCCCAAAACAGCTGTTGATGATATGCATGTTTAAGTATTTGGACACATGTGTACTGATGTTATTTTGAAATCTATTTTGAAAAAAGAATTAATGGATGTATAGAGAAATACCCAGATGGGTATGTGTTAAAGCCAGGTATAGTGATTATATTAATGGTAGAATCTAAGTGATGGATATGAGTGTACACTATAAAATTCTTTCAACTTTGCAAAATGTTTAGTAATAAAATGTTGGGAAAATATACAATAAAGTGTTATGACAATGGAAACACACACAGGGTGCTGTGAGGGCACGAGTTAAGGCGCCTAACACCTATAGTTAAAATTAAATAAATTTTAAAATTCAATTTCTCAGTCACAGTTGAAGTGCTGGATAGCTAGTGGCTAGTATATGGGGCAGTGCGGATGACACAGAACATGTCCCATCATCACAGGAAGTTCTACAGGGCAGTGCCGGGCAGGGAGAGGAATTACCTTGAAGTCTCCTCCAAAACCTATAGGAAAAATGGGAAGAATATTACCCCTGTGAAAAGGCTGAAGAGGGAAACCTACATTCCAAACACAAAGAACATCATATCTAAATGCCCAGTAGTGAGAAAATTAATGAGGTTTTCAGATAAATTAATGGCCAGCTAGCTCTCCTCTCCATCATGATTTAATTATTCTGGAGTGAGTCACTTTAAGTACTAGGTGATTACAGTAAATAGCCAGAAGGGGAGAAGAAACCCAATAAGGTATCTGTTACAATAACCAGACAACATTATGATGACTTGACTGTGGAGTAGTAGCAGTGGAAATAGAGAAAAATAGAGTGCTTAGCGAAATGTCAGAGAGTAAACTACACATGGCTGTGTCATGGTCTGAAAACAGAAGTCAAGTGAAGAAACAGCAGGAGTCCAGGACACTCAGCAACTATTCGAGCAACTGCCTGCCACTGTTATCAAAAGCAACTGAATTCCTATTTCATCTAATACAAGCATAAATGCTGAATGAAATTCAGTTTATCTTGCTATTTGCCCTATTAAACAACATAGGTTTTTCAGCTTTTGGTATTCCTAGTCTGCAGTCTCTGTATAGCGTTTATTACCTTTGTTGCTAGTTGGACCCATCCATACAAAAAAGGAAGGGAAAAAAAATAAGGGCAGAAAGGAGGCAACTTTAACTTGATGGCCTCAAAAACGTAGGGCTCTACAGAGCCCTATTTGTTGGGGGCAACAATGTAAGGATGGCTAATCTATTTAAGAGTGTGTGGGTAACATCTGGAGAAATTAGTTGGGTTTTCAATCGGCTGGGAAAGCATTATTTTTAGCATTTAAAATGAGGATATAGGCTCCTGCTCTGTGAAAATTCACTATGCATTACAGATTTAGAAACTGATCATATTTATACAGTTCCATCCAACTCCATACCATATCCAGAAACATAACCTGCTTTCCATAATGAAGATTATGGAAACTAATGTGTTTCATTTAACAAGTGTTACCGAATATATATTATATGTCAAACTATGGCCATAACAGAGACAAATAGGCTAGTCTCTTCCGAAAAGGCAATGAAGAGAATCCTGCAGGCTTTTGCCATTTATGAGAACTCTCAAGTCTGCAGAGTTCCCATCCCTGATTCTGGTGAGAGAGAGACAGGCTGCTTTCCAGCAATACACTGGAGTCTGCCACATTTACAGAATATCTAATATGAAGACTAGGACTGACTTCAAAATAATATTGGAGGGGAGGATGAAAGTATAGGTGAAACCAGACAGGCCATGTAGTGATAATTTTTGAAGCTGGGTGACAGTACACAGTGATACATGATACTATTCTCTCTACTTCGGTACTTTTTAAGATTTTCCCAAAATCAAGCTTTTAAAAAATTTAAATCCTCAAATATATGGGGATGTAAGGAGAACTGACTCTGGGTGGTAAACACACAATATGAATACAGATGATGTATTACAGAATTGTACACCTTAAATCTATGTAACTTTGCTAAGAATTGTCACCCCAATAAACTTTAATTTAAAAAAATAATTAAAAACAGAAAAAAAAATTTTAAATCCCTTCAATGAAGAGAAAACTGGCTGATAAAAATTACCTCTTACACTAAAAAAAAAATAAAATAAAAAAATTAAAAAAAAATGTTTTGAAGAAAGTGGACCACAGGGACTAGATCAGGACAGCCAACCGAGTACATGAGCCTACCTTCCAACACACTTATATTCTAGAAAAAATGAACATTATTTAAAGAGATAAATGCATATAACTTTGCCAGAAAAAAATTTTTTTAAGATGAGGGCCACCAGAAAAATAGAAATTTTAGAAAAACACTGAAAACATAAAAGGGGCAGGATTGAATGAAGTGGTGGGCAAAATCATATCCAAGCACCCTCCCAGAAGTGGGCCATGGAGGTGGCTGCTGTTCTTTGCATGCTCCAAACTCTAATACAGGGGAAAGGAAGGCGCCCTGGCGATGCCCCAGCCTCCAGCCTGGCAATCAGCCCTCTCCCACAATCAGCATTCAAAGACTGGCACTGGGCAATTCTAAAATACAAAGATGATCACAAAATCGATCTTTAAAAACTAACACCAAATAAGATAAGAGAAT